CGATGAGCTTTGTAAAAATCGACACGTTTCAGAAAGGCATGGCATAGAGGAGCAACAATGTACAGTATGTGGAAAATAATGTGTTTTGAACCTTAAACCGCATAAACACATTTCATTACACCAAATAATGTTCTTTTTAGCAACATCATATGACCCCTTTAAGATATTTTTGATGAATTATGAGAGCTCTCTGACCCTGCATAGACAGCAATGTAATTACCACGATCAAGGTCCAGAAACGTAGTAAGGACATCAGTGGTTCAACCGTAATTTTACGAAACTATGAGAATACTTTTTGTGCGCAAAGAAAACAAAAATAAGGACTTTATTCAACAATTCGTCTCCTCCGCATCACCCTGGCGCCATTTTGGAGAGTATCACGACGAATGCGCATGCTTTGATCTGAACGTAAACAAGATAGACGTTCAGATAAACAGCGTATCCCCTCTCTCTCTCTACACAATGCTTTCCTGTCTACTCTATACTGTCTTGTCCAAATAAAGGCATAAAAAGCCCATAAACAATCTTTAAAAATAATAATAATAATAAATAAATAAATTCAACCTTGGTGACCATAAGAGAATTATTTCAAAAACCTTACAGGTCCCAAACTTTTGAATGGTAGTGAACTTTATTACTTCAAATCAAAGTTTGTTATTTTGTGATTAATCTTGGATCTGGTCGGTTTGGTTCATGCTTTAGAACTCTTAATTGAAGAAGTCTCTGAAATCCTAATGGAGAAAATGAATGGTAAAAATAACAAGACTGTTAAAAATCTATGTCATTTTTGTGAGCGTCCTATAATGTTTGGTGTAGAAAAGCACATGGTGTGCTCAAAGGATGAAATATTCTGGTACTTTAATTCTTTTATTCGTGGCATGGCCAGACCATCACAAGGGATGTTTTGCCGTGCAGCACTGCATTGTTTAGCAAAAGTCTTTTGTTGGTGTTTGGTGAAACACTGATGATGGGATTTAGTCCGAAAGGTCTGCTGTGTTTGACTGCCAGTGCCACAGTATGAGGTTAAACTATTGAACTATTAAACTATTTTCTGAGAAGACTCGAAAGTAATCACCAGACTTGAATCTCTCATGTAAAATAAAGATATCATTTCAGTGCTAATTCAATCCATCTTTTTTGCAGCATTTGTGATTTATAACTTCTTGAGCCTGTGTTATGAATACCTTGGAGGAGAGAGCGCTATCATGGCTGAGATCAGAGGAAAACCCATTGAGTGAGTGTCATTTTCCATTTCCACTTATACTGTTGTGTGAGAACTTTTTAAAGCATGCCTCAAATCAATGCTCTTATTGATGTTTGATGAGACTCCAGGTGTGTTTGTTAAGTGCGTGTTTACACTTGGCAAGTTTGGTTTGATTCAGATGAAATCTAGTGCGATTGCTCTGTTAGTGCGGCTCATTTGAATAAGTGCGAATGCTGCCATTCAAACTCCTGCCGCTGTTTTGACTCTTTTACATATTTTATAAACTCTTTGTGAGTTATCAGCTAAATAAAAAAAAAATACTGCATGTACACACATAAAACGAGCGCACTTAGCCCAGAACACAGCAGTTTTGGATGTTTGTTAATAAAAGTCATGAAAGTTGACCAATCAGGTTGCAACCTTATCCTTATGCCTGTTGTCTTGTATCTTTAGGTTCGGTGTTAAAAACGCTAAGTAAATCGGGATTAAATATATAATTTTCTTTTATGATTCGGGCCAGAAGAACCAATATAACTGAGCTACAAGTGTAAACGTACCCTAGGTTAAGTAATAGCTTAACATATTTATGTGAAAGCAATCTTGTTTTTGTTTTGCTGCAGGTCCAGCTGTATATATGGAACATGTTGTCTTTGGGGCAAGACCTACTCCATTGGCTTCCTTCGATTTTGCAAACAGGTTTGCATATTGAACACTTTCCGAAATCCTTGTTCCCATTTATCTTTTTGTCTTCAGATATTTTTTTGAGTAATTTGTTCATTAATTCATTTTACAGGCCACTTTACAGTTCTGTGTGGTAAAACCCCTGATGGCCATGATTACAGTCATCCTGCAGGCCTTTGGGAAATACCGTGATGGGGACTTCAAGTATGTGCTTCTCGTGTGATGTCTGATCTGTGACTATTTTCCCTAATACTCAAGATTTCAAATTTCAAAACGGAATTTTTGATTTTAGAATTTTGTTTCTGATCCCACAGTGTCGCTAGTGGTTACCTGTATGTGACCATCGTCTACAATATCTCCGTCAGCCTGTCTCTCTACGCCCTTTTCTTGTTCTACTTCGCCACCCGAGACCTCCTCAGCCCCTACAGGCCCATGCTCAAGTTCTTCATGGTCAAATCAGTCATCTTCCTCTCCTTCTGGCAAGGTCAGATCTACTGCTATAGAAATACTAAAGTCAACATGAAATCAAAATTGACCCCATTTACAATAAATGGTCATATGAATCTTATAGTGGACATTTTATCAGTCTACATTATTCTAAAAACAAAAAATGTCTTCATATTATTTTTATCAAAACCTGCTCCAGCCCTCAAATAACTCGGTTGACGTCAGTAGGCCTTTATGTTGCCCAATTATTGTTTTTGGCTTCTGTATGTGATGTCAGTTCTTTATGGATAAAACCAAGTCCTAATTTTCTTCTTGTTGAGTATTCTGTGAAATGGATTGGAATTGTGAATGCACATTCATATTGACTTTTTAACTACTTAAAGCTATTGGTAACCTGTGATCTCGTCTTACAGGCATGCTGCTGGCCATCTTGGAGAAATGTGGTACGATTCCTCAGATCAGCTCTCCTGAGGTTTCTGTCGGCGAGGGAACCGTTGCAGCTGGATACCAGAACTTCATCATTTGCATCGAGATGTTCTTTGCCGCCTTGGCCCTGCGACATGCGTTTACCTACAAGGTCTACATGGACAAAAGACTGGATTCCCTTGGTGAGCTCTACACCTTTGTTCCTTTGTTCGTGAACAAATGGCATGTTTTTTTTCCTGTAATATGTGTAAAACAGTGTAAAAGAGTAGTTTACACTACAGTTAAAAGTTTGGGGTTGGTAAGATTTTTTTTAAAAATGTTTTGGAAAGAAGGTTGCATTTATTTGATCAAAAAATTACAGTTAAAAGCAGTAATATTATGAAATATTTTTACAATTAAAAATAACCCTTTTCTGTTTTAACATATTTTAAAATGTAATTTATTCCTGTGATGGCAAAACTGAATTTTCAGCAGCCATTACTCCAGTCTTTAGTGTCACATGATCATTTGTTAAAAATTTGTTTTGCTGCTTAATGTTTTGTGGATTTTTTTTTCTTAGGATCTTTTGATGAGTAGAATTGTTTTTTGAAATATATGTATTTTAACTAACATTATAAATACTTTAATATCTTTTGATTAATTTAATCCATCCTTGCTGAATAAAAGTATTTATTTCAAAAGTAAAAAAAAACTTACTGACCCCTTACTTACTTATTGAGAGGCAGTTTTAACATAAAGTGACATGACATCTGACGCACAGATGCCATTGGCACATGCAGCTATGCTCAGTGACACTTCCAGTTTTCAGTGGCCTGTGACACATGTCAATGGACTGCGTCCTGTGTCACTGACATTGCCTGACACCTGCCGCTGGGTGCCGCTGCATAATGTAGATTGCGTAATACACACACTTAACGGCAGAATGATATTTAATTAATTAACAGTATGTTGCTGTCAAACATACATTATAAAACGGAGAGTTCCGGTCCTTGATTCTGATTGGCTGAGCCACGTTTGAAGCTGTTGTAAATTACTCTACAAACATACACCTTTGTTTATGTTTGTCTGTTGCTTGGCAACCACTTTGTTGCAACCACAACAAACCTCCGTGAAGTTGGCACCCCATAAAAAGAAATAATCACCAAAACTATGCCATTCGTTTGTGCTGATTTGTGCCGCAAAAACGAACGTTTGTGTTGGTTTGGTGTTTGAGATATTAAAAAAATTTTTGACCGTGTGACGTCACTCTCCACCCCATGTTGCCCAAATCGCTCCAAACCAGCGCAGTTCGTTTGTGTTCGTTTTGTGCCGTTAAAACAAACACTGTATCTATTTTCCTTCCTTAGATATAACCAAAATATTTTCGGGAGCTGTGACGTCACTCTCCACCCCAGTTCGTCTAAATCGCACAAAACTGGTGTCATTCGTTTGTGCTCGATTTGTGCCGATTTGTGCTGTTGAAATGAACATCAAATATATTTTCCCTTCATAGAAATAACAAAAACAATTCTGG